AAAAAAAAAAAAAAAAAAAAAAAAAAAAAAAAAAAAAAAAAAAAACAAATAATCAAAGGAAACCAAGGAACGGTGCGCGGCCACCATCAGCGGGCGACGGCCGGCCAGCCCTCGAGTTTCCCCCGAATTACGCACAGGCCGCCGCATCGCATATCGTCAGAAAACCCAAAATGTCCCACACCACCACCACACACTGCAAAAACTACATAGTGCACACACACACACACACACACACACACACAAGCCAGTTCACGCTTAGACCTAGGCCGAAATGGCCAATTCTACCAGAACGGGAGTAACTACACACAACCTGGACAGGACTAGTTGACTAAGTACCACCACCGACCGTACTTTTGGTCTCTTTCGTTTGTGTGGGGTGTAGATTAGTAGGTAGTCTACTCAAGTGAGGTTGTCCTCTTCTCCTTTTCCCCTCCAATCCGTAAGTTAGTCTAGCTGTGGAGGTTTGTACTCCGCAACCGAGTGGACATTGGACATCGGATTCTCAGGAAGAACAATCGATAACTTACTGATACATCGACAAGATGCTCGGTTGGGGGTTATTCTTCAAATTGACAGTGTCCGTTCTTCAGACCCACGATGCAAATGGAGCCTTTTCCAAGAATGACTTATTAGTAACATGTCGCTTATCCAGTACGAAACAGAGATCCTATCATCGGCCCTCCATACCGCTGGCGGTCCGACCAAAGAAAATGAGATTAAGAAGCGCATACGTTATGCTCAGGTGACTCAGACACATAACTCTACACGATATGACTTACTGAATTACCCGAGAAAGACCTTTCCCCATTATGTCAGATCCTTAGATACCCTGTAAAAACCCTTCCTAGCCAACGAACAATGCACGACAAAGAGATGGCCTGATATAGTCATCGGAGACCATTTCCCGTGATCGTTCAAATGCAGGAACTCGAGCAACTCGAGCAGGGGCGGGATGAAAAGGGGGGCAGGGGATTGGCTTAGGGTTGATTTCGCTCGAGGTATATCGACCAAGCATCTGTAGCAGTGGACAGCAGTATGACGCTAGAAAGGCCATCGCTCTCGATGCATGAGTAAGCTGGTCTCGAATCACGTAATGAGCAGAAATATGTCATCTAGGGTTCATGAAACCAAAGTACTGAAGACAATCGTCGAAATGCATGTAATGCAATGATTTAAAAGAGAGGGGGGGTCGTCTCGAAAGAGGAAATCGGGGTTCACACCAACCCAAAAAAAACTTCGAGAAGGGTTTGCGATAGACGAAGAAACAGTGACGACTGAGTCTGGAGGTGGTGATTTTGGTCCCCCGATCGAGCGCGGATCTAAGAAGATTTGCCCCGGTGCGCTAGTGTGCCAATCGAGAGGGTGGGGGGGAGTAAAGAGGAGAGAGGGGAAGAGCTAAGGATTGATCTGCCAACCGTAGGGAGGGATGACAGAATTCCAGTACTCAGGTTGAGTAGTGCATCTACCCAGAGTGGTTAAGTCGCCAGTACGTGTAGGCCGGGATCATGACATTGCTGAGTAGCTACAGTACAGTACGTTTTCGACCGAGAGGATGCGAACAACAGTACGGAGTACTTTTCCTGTCATCGGGATTGACAGGGCATAGGAGCTCACTTGGCGATATGAGTGCAGTGATGTACCTATAAGTCAGCTGTCTGTTAAAACCCCTCAGCGACAAAGAAGTAATCTACCCATAACAACTAGTTTCAATCACTCGTGTGTCAATGCGGCAAATGTGTTTGAACTCTTTGTTGCAAGCAAGAGCACGGCCTGCTTGCTTTCGCGCCAATGGGGACCCGAGAACGAAGTAGCAATTGAGACGAACAACCAGCCAAAAGTTCAGATCCCCAACCCTATAACTTTGAAATCCCCCTTCCTTCGTGACTAGTGTCGCTAGTCGGCGTCCCCCGATATGGAGTTTCTTTGATCTGTACCATTAAACTAGCTGTCTAGTTTGAAGCTACCATGAACCCCGAGACAAAGAAAAGCAATCAATCCGAGTCATGGACGCCGACTACCTCGGCAGTGGGCGGTTGTTTCTTTCGGGGGAAAGCATATTCAGAACGACATGAAGCAAAGCCAGAAAAGTACACGGCGATGCTTCAACATGGTTCGAGCATCGACCACCCGTAGCTGAACTCTGAAATGCCTGAGCCAGGTTAAATGGGGCAGATAAGAAGTCCCAGCGTGGTGGCTACGGCTCCGATCTGGGTCCCAAAGAACCTCTTAGTACGGGACCAAGGCGCAATATACTCCAGCCTCAAATTCAAAATGAGCCCGCGGGTGGAGGAAGTGAGGGGGGTAAAGGAGCCTCGCCAATGCTGTACTTTTGCCGGGGGAGTCGTGGGCGCCGTGTCATTCAACCCGTGTTCACAATGGCCATCAAAAGTCATTGGCAATCAGCTACTGTCCAACCATGAATTCCACGATCCCAGAGGGACTTGAAGCCGGCCAGTAAATCAGTGGAAAAACGAATGCTTGTTTGTCCCCTGTTGAACAATAGTACTCGGCTAGAGTGCCACGGAAAGTAGTAGTACTGCGTAACCACCAGCCTAATCCGACCACGTACTTGGCCCCAGTAGTTCCGGCGGTAAGTTGACTTACTATGTAAGTGAGGGCATGCAAACATGCCAGGCACACAAACAAAGTGCGAAACCATATCTTATCTTTATTTGATTTGATTTGATTTGATTTACTTTTTCTGGATGGTTCATTGGAAGGTAGCCAGCTTGTCTACAGAGTAACTAGGAGTACCAACTGAGCCATGACTAAGAGACGATCGTTCCCCAAACGAATTACCCGCTGTCACGATGAGGAATGATTTTCGTCAGAGCCACCAGACACTCTCGACTAGTCCGCTGTCAACCGAACGCTATGGCTGTCAATTAGCCATGACATAACTTTATGCTCCTGATTTTTCCCGTAGAACAGTGGAAAGGCATCAGGCACAATCCTTTCTCTCAAGGCAGTAACAACGACAACAACATCATCATCATCATCATCATCATCGATACTGTAGTCAATCAAGCCCGTCAATTTAATTCAAGACAGAGTATCCAGACCGCCTATCCTTTCATCTCCAGCACGACCCCCTGGTTCCACCAATATCCCGCCCATCACCCATCTGGAGACGTGCGATGTTTGTTTAAACCATGCTTGTCTGTGCTCCCAAGAAGTGACCGCCAAGGGAATGAGAAGATGGAGGGGGAAGATGCGCACCTGGCAAATGACCACCACCACCCCTTTTCATCTTACCTCCGGCCGACATATCCGGAGTCTAGACCCTCAGCACTTTCTACCCGGTCTCACATTTCTTCCAGCACACCGTATACCTTCCATTGTATTATCTCTACGACAGCACAGAGTTTTCGCGCACGTTTTAGCAACGAGGAACCGACATTGCATGAAGCGTGATAAGAAACGAAGGGGAAAAAAAAATATGTATGGCCCGCAACGTGGCAGTGGGAGCAGCAATAGTGGGGGCAAAGAAGAGAAAAGAAAAACGAAGGACTAGAGGCCCACGAGCTCTTGGGAGGGCACAACACCTGCATCAAGCGACATCTGATGTCTGTCTATTATTGTAGGGTGCGCGGAGTACAGAGGCACAGTACAGTTTGCAGGCGGGAACACAAAATAACCTCACCGCCACGATATCAAACAAGGCGGTGGAGGTGGCATGGCCGCGCATGAAGCATGTCGAGGTGCATAAGTTCCGTTTGAGTGAAAACATGCTGTTTGAACAATATAAGCCAACTCTCTTACTACCCACCCAATGACGGTTTGCTATGGGGTCATATTGTCGACTATCTCCTTCGGTTTTCCTTCCCTCCTTCCTCCTTGGTCATGCTGTGATCAGTACCTACGTTGGTCACAGCTAGCTTTGATGCCCGATACGGCTGAAGAGGCGATATTCAGCAAAGACATGGCGGTGTCTAGTGAATCTCTGATTGCTTCCTCCTAAAATTTGTACCAAGTGTGTATGCTACCCTGACAAAATGCGTTTTTAGCTCCTACGTTCTGTACTTGCTCTGGTGTGGTTGCGGGCTCCAACACCATGTCTAACTTTCATTCACTAGCGCCATGTGTCAGAAACGCCAAAATATATACTCATAGAAGCATGGACTTCTGACACGAGCGAGCTGCCCAAGACACCGACTGACCGATCGCAGTTAATCAACTAGCGCTTTCCTGTCTCAGAGGGTAGTCGCCTTCTAGCTGATTGCATTGACTAAAAAATGGAAGGGCTTCTAATGTAGCTGCACACTTGCAATTGATGAAGGTCGATCCTCCACTTCTTAATCTTGAGTATTGTTGAGTTAGGTAGTCAGTTGACGAAGGTCGGTAATGACAAACAAGATGTGCAATCAGCTAACTGGCGAGTTCACTACCCAGAGAGGGAAGAGCAGGGTAGGGCCCGGGAGTATCACGTAAGTTAGGGGGGGAACTGGGGAGTGAACCGGGGTCCGGGTAAGAAGAAGAAGAGAGGGGGGGGAACCGGTGCCATGGATGGGAGATTAAAGTCGCGATTGAGGCCTGGCGATTGGATCACAGCCCGCCTGTCAGACGTCGGATTTTCCTTAGCCCGTTTCTTCACCACCACTAAGAACCACGAATTCCTCGTTGTTTGGAAACACACTATGTGCTTAGGCTACGAGCCTACGACGGTAGCTTTCCTTAGTACTTCACCATCCTGGTCAATATGTTCGCCAAAAGTTGGACTTTCTTGGTCGCCGGCGGCGGAGTTAAGTGACTGACTGACATTTGAGAAGGCTACGGGGATGTGTCTCAGGTTTCACTGAACCTGCCCGGAGACCAGAACTTTCCCCAAAGCGTTGAGGTGAAGGCCCTAGAACGTCAGTCGGCTGATTGTGGTGTTGAAGATCATCCAAACAATTTTCGTCCCCGAGTAGAAGTCTCTCACGAGTGCATACCTCAAACGTTCTGGGTAGGTACAAACCATTCACAGGTCGTTTAGCTCAGACAGAACAAATAGTTGAGTAGAATCAAGTACCCCTCGCTTCCCAGCATAATTTAGGGCCCTTCCGGGGACCTAATTTGTGGGCCACACGTGACATGGATGGTATGTACTTGTACCGTAACAATGGTAACGATCTCCTTTCAATCATACAGAAGAGGCGTGCGCCGTGCAGGGCTGTGGTAGTAACTTATAGTAATCTATACTCCGTACTTTGTGCTCCTATGACAGCACCCGTCTGCAATGTGTGGCCGATACTTGGAAAGGTCACTTGATTCCAAGGCTGGTTAAAATCTTACTACGTCATGTTTCTTCAAAGATTACAGACAAGCGAAAACCGACCAGCTGGCAACCGGGAATCCAGGAACCGAGTTCAGCTGCTAGGAAGTACTTTACGTACCAACCCTCTTAGTCTAGCATTGAGAAGCTCAAAGAACATTTCCGTCAGAAAAGAAAAACCCACTTGGGGTGATGTGACGAACATCGATCAGTTGAAGTTTTGGGTCAAGCTAATTCCCGCCCGGGGCGTCAGACCAGGCTTGGTATCATACTAAGTACCTTAGTACTTTGGCCCTCTTTCAAATGATCGAAGTGGTAGTAGCTACCAATTCAGCCCTTCGATGATAAGAACTATGAGACTGGATATTATATTCGATCTCTTTAAGCACGCACCGAGCCTACCGTCCTCCCGTCCGTCCTAATCTCTGGTTCTCATGGAGATTTGGTACACGTATGATTAGTATTAGAATTAGGGGAAGGAGGGTCACGGGGGTCGGGGACGGGCCGAAAGGGGGCAGGGAGACAGGCTCTCAGGGCTGTCAAAAGGACCGTTCTTCAATGCTCGCTCGAGTCGCACCGACCAGTCAGTGGCCATAGATTCAGGTGGGGAGAAAAGAGCGGCCCGGGGAGAGGCTTCCGACTGTCCCAACGCTTGTCATCAGGAAGCAATCAACCTACCAAGCGGATGGAATTCCAGTAGTGTGAAGGATCGCCGGTCAGAGCTCCCTGGATAGTCGCTCTTAATCATATAATCATAGCTAGCACCTAATTTAATCATCCTGTCAGCCAAATGACAGGCATCGTCGTTAGTCTGGGAATGTGTCAGTGTGTCAGCCCAAACGAAGTCCAGACCTTCCCCCCCCTCTCTCCCTCGCCTGCAGCATTAGAAGCCCAGACCCCCCAACTCGAAATGCAGCATGCTCAGGAGATCGTGCTCGATCATTGGAGAATCGTGTTCGATCGTTCGTGGCTTGCCGAGAACCGATCAGCTTTCCCAGGATTGAGGGAGGGTTCGTGTTTATATATATATAACACTTTTTGCATGCCTAAGCGACCCATCGCGGCAACAAAAGTACGAGGCCACTAAGCTTCCATCCCAGACCTCGACAACCAGCAACAAAGTCCTACTAACGCGATATCCTAAAGACTTCATTCGACACCGATCAACGTCAGCTCTACGCTTTCTTTTTCCCGCTCTTCTCTATGCTCCCTTCCCATCACCCCCTTTTCCCTGCGTTGACCGTTCCCGGAAGAGAGTCTTGCTCAGGAACGACATTCGTACCGTTGCATCCCTTGACGATGGAATAGGATCCCTGGGCTTCTGGACCATCTGGACCGCGTAGTCTAGACAATCGAGTCGGTCTGCATCTCACGCCCATCAGCAGCCACCATTGATTATCTTTTCGCTGTGTACAGAGTACAAAATAGGAAGATCAAGTTGAAGGCTCCGGGGAAACCAAACGTCCCAAGTGACGTCGTCTCCGCGTAGGTCGCAATGCGGCACTCACTACACCGAGTTCTCGCTTTACGAGATCTAACTATACTATTCTTGCCGCGGACCATCACACAAACCTACTGTACAGTACTTTGGGTGCGGGATAAGTCGTCTACATCCTCGAACTCGAATCTCTACTTCCCCTCTCTCTTCCCGTCCGTCATCTGCTGGAGATGAAGGGATCTTCTTGTCTGCCGTCACGCGCGCGTCGATGCGGTGTAGTCCTTTCTTTACTGGAATCACAAGCGAGCGGCGCCGTTGAGACGTTTCATCCGAAAAACCTGCGAATGATTTTGCCTTTCTAGAAATCAGGATTTTGGCAACCAACAAGAGAACCGGCGCGCAACGAGGGCAAACGAGGCAAATGCGGAAGAAGGCAGAGAAGAGAGTTCGGCTTTTCAAGGAGGGGAAGCAAAGCAGCGAGCAAGTTCTCTTTCTGACCTCCATGCCGATCGGTTCGGCCCTGACGACGTCATTGATGTTTCCGCAAGCGATATCGCTTCCAGGCTTTTGGGGTCTTTTCGTACCTGTAGGGAAAAGACACCAACTATGTCACTTCTTTGCGATACCTCTCATAGATCGGCCGAAGGTCGAGGGGAGGGGGGCTATCTCCCGACCGGGCCGAGCCTCTGCAGAACTTCGATGCAGGAAGTAGGGGGAGAGAGGGAGAGAGATGCTAGATGGGATCATAATGATATTCAATATCTCTCGGCTGATGCGATGTCATCGGAAGGTCGTTGAGGCATGTAGAGGAGGTAGCGCGTATGTTGTGCAACAGCACTACTGTAAACAATATCTATATCAACAGTAAAACGGCTGTGGCCGTTCACCCGCTGTCAGAAGTCAGCATTAGATAATCAATTCTCCGACTTTCTTCGCTGCTCACGAATGAGAATTGAAGGACCGGGGAGTACTGCTGGGAGGGATTCAGATTCGTCCGGGCGAGACTGCATTGACCAGCCTGTGGGGTAGCAAGTGCACCTACCAACTAGCCCGTCTGGCTATGAGATTGGCAAGACGCCAATCCCTAGACCATGGTACAGTTACTCAAACATAGCTTCTTGCATGCAGTTGAGGTTTCACTTTCATATCCGCATGGATCTTCTTATTATTTTTTTTACGCATTAGCATCGACAACCTTCCTCCGCTGAATCACCAAGCCAACCTGACGGGAGGCGTCAACATAGCCCGAAAGGAGAAGCGAAAATGCGCAATCGCCCCTCCAAATCCACCGAGTTGCCGAACTGAGTTAAGTCTGGGGTTGTACAACTCATCAAGGTTGCGGGTAAATGCCGGAAGACCCTCTGAACCATGGAACCGCCGACATAGTCGCTGCGACTAGACTCGATTCTCTATCACAAAAGACTCTATCTATCTAATTAATCCATACTGAGCACTGACTGGGGGTCATCGGCCTCTCCCCGTCCGGGTGGCTGGCGTCAACCGTCCTACCAGAAAGGAACAGGTGCAGAATGATCAATGATGGAACCTGGAATCATTCTTCTCTCGGATTCTGTTTCTGTGTCTCCGCCGCCGCTCGTTCGCTTTCCCCCCTACAAAATCTCCGTTTTGGGAATCGTCGCGCGACCGAGGATCTGGGACAGCGTGCATGGTTTCGACCAGTCATCTAGGCGGAAAGCATACGTTTTTGTCTGTTCGAATCTGAATTGGAACCCATTTTAGGTGTGCAGGGTGCTAGCTAGGGTAGTGTTGATCACGATGACAGCGGAGGCTACACATGCCTGGTAACGATCCCAGAAGTAGACTGTCAGATCGCCGGGCTTGATTGGGGGAAATGGCCCGATTGGGTTTATCCCTCCTTCCGTCCTAACTTTTTGTTTTATGTTTGGTGTTTGAGGGTGTGCTGCAAGTCAATCTGGATTGTGTTACAGCAGCCGAGCGGACAAGTTCACCCTCTCTCAGGTGTCTGTGTGCGTGTGTGTGAACGAGCGCGCGCGCACGACTCGTGTCTGACCTCCACACCCGCCACTTTCTAGCTTCTTCCTCAATTCTTCACGAGTCATCGGATTCTGCCTTTCCCACTCAACGCTTTTGGATTCCACTCATGGCTCTGGCTATGATTTCAACCTTGGGTGTTTCAGAATAAGGAGTGGGGAATGAACCCGAGCCTGTTATTGGTGGGCGTCTATCGCCGACGTTATTTTCTCCCCCAATTTTCTCGTCTGTTGGCTGGAAATGGTTGGGAGAATGGAATTGAGCTCGCGTGGGTTTGGAAAGGATCCTAGATTCCTAGTGGTGTGGCCTGGCCACAATCTGCAGGCGTTCGTTAGCCCCGAACCTATCTTACCCGGGGGATCCCTGTTCCTGAATCAGCGACTGGCGGAGATGGCCAGATGATTTCCCGGCTTGTGGATCAATTCTGCAGCCATCATGCTGTACTTACTTACAGTCTCTCCACTCAGCAGCAGTCGGGTGGAGCCGCAACCCCCCGCCCCTCACCCCCAATCCTCCATGGACCCATTAAATGCGTGGATGTCGACACTGGAGTTGCAGCGTAATGATGCTGCTGAGCTGCGTCCTGGCGACACCCGGTTTCGATTGGGTTCCATCGGGACACAGGCGCATGAGTAGAAGTGGTCTCTCGCTCCATCTCCCCACAGCACCAGGACTCTTGCAGGTCTGCTAAACTGAGCTTAGGGTGCATCAAGCCCAATCAGCAGGTTCCAAATCAGCCATACCCAGGCTGCAGGGATCATCCCTGTAAGTGCATGCACCTTGTGCAGCAGCGCTGTGTGTTGATCGTTGATATCACCGTTTCTATTCCTATTTTCATTTTCCCCTCCTTCCACCAGCAGCAGCGGCAGGGATATTGCTGTTCTCCAACCATGGAACATTCTTCGAGTTCCCTGCTTTTTGTTGTTGCCCACCGACCCTGACCTCATACCTCAGGCTTGGGGATAACCTCCTATAGATGGCGACTCTGGAAAAAGCAAGATTTCCTGACCATGGCGATCAAACAATATCTTGATTTCTGTAACATGGCCACCGATCTTCTGGACTGTTCTACTCTAATCTTTCTCTGACTTCATTTTACTTTAAAGTGTTCCGAGTCCCCGTCCTCCTCCCTCCCCTCCGACGTCAATCCCCCACACAAATCGCCTGACAATCTCAGATGGAGCAACGATCTTCCATAGTGAGGCATCCAGTCTCCATCTGCAAACAACTAGCCCACGGAGTACCACCGACGAAGACGAAGAATCGCGAATTGCCTTCTCCGGGAGTAGGAGGTACGTTACGGAGTTCACACCCCAGAAACATCCGTCATCCCCGAAGGCAAATCCGCAATCGATGGATATACCGATCACTCGTTACAAGCCTACCTGCCAGATAGCCGACGCAAGTCGAGTACGCTACCTTTCCTCATCCGGTGTCGTGCGCCTACAAAACTGTGGCCGGGCTTTTCCATCGAGGCATAGGGAAAGTGGACGGGTGGAGAGGGCAGCGGGCTCACCAGCAGTATCATTCTGCCCAGTAGTAGTCCCCGCGTATAGTGAGTGGGAGCAGTACAATCCCGGAGCAGACGGGCATTCTCGACCTATACGAGACGCTAGTAGTTGGTTCCTCAGTCCCTATTCCGCGGTCTATGTCTGATAATGATGATGATGATGATGTGCAACCCGTGCCCACTAATCTGCGCAGGGATCACGGGATATCGAACTGAACCGCAGAAAATCCGTGTCGTGTCCCTGTGTCTACGGAGTATAGTATGTTTCGCTTTTCTGGTTTTGGCGTAAAACAACGGGCAAATCAGTATATACCACTGACCAGGTAGTCAGCCCACGCTGTGGTGGATGATGCGAAGAATGATTTGCAATCTGAAACCGCCAACAAGTCCAACTAAACTAGCTACCTAGGGTTGTTGGTCGGCCCGAACTCATGGAGGGGGGATTTTGCTTTTTGCCTGCCTGCTTTCTTTTTGGTCTCGCTCCCTCAGGAACAACGGGCCTTCTGCGCTGTTCACCCGGAAATGAAACCAGCCCCTCTCCAGGGATGTTCCATGCTTCGCGCTAGACTCCGTTAGAGACTCCGTCAGAGACTCCGTCAGACTCTAGTTCCAGGGCCATGTCAGGTTCAGGGATCATACTCTTAGTTCGAGGGAAGAAATCAAGGAAGACGGCGACAAGACAAGAGGGGGTAAGGCACAGCAACGCAGCGACTGTCTCTGGTAGAGAGACATAAACATTCATCCCTGAGAGAGAAAAAGTACTACGCCTTGGAAACAGGGTAGACTGTCTCTCAATTGCATTTTGTGTATGGTGGTTATTGCGCACAATCCGCAATTTGCAATACTATCAGTAGTATTCAGACGGAACTAATGGTTCGGTAAAATTTAGCAGCATTGCATAAACACGGAGTGGAAAGTGGAAGATCCGCAATCAGCAACCGACAACGGAGTATCCGTAGTTACACTCCGTAAAAACGCTGTTGTGCCACCACCACCACCACCACCAGATCGAACAATAGGGCCCTCGTTTCAGATCCTCAAACCCATTGTCTCCCACGCCGAGAAACAAAAGAAGAAAAAAAAAAGAAGAAACACAGTGACAAATCGGACAGAAAAGGCAGATCAACATACGGAGTAACTTCTTCAGCTCTCTTTTCTTCCTTCCCCCTTGTCCATACACCATATACTATAGGCGCGCGGTTCCCGACACGGTCCACTCCGAATTCCTGGATCACAAAAGTCCTATGCATGCAGAGGTAGGGTAAAAGGGGGGGGGGGGGGGGAGGGGGTTTCCTGGACTAGGAAAGTCCCAGGTATATGAATTGGTGGGGATTCGTTTCTTCGCTATTCCTACCATGCACTAGCTAGTTCTCTCTATGGAGGACCAGGGATCGTGGTTCTTTGGACAGTACTTTTTCTTGTTGTATACTCCGTACTATGTAAGGGAGTCGGGGTTTGGAACGACGGGAAGAGAAGGGGATTGATTGAAGAAGAGGGGAGGGGGGGAACGGACCGACGGGGATCGTGCACAAGCCACGTAGTGGACGGAAGGGACGTTCGAAGGTTTTCCCAAGACCATGGGTTCTGTGTTCCTTTAGTTGGGAATTGACTTTCCGCGGGATGTTTAGATTGAACTGTATACAGTAGCTAAGTTACTCGTAACGGACTGAGTATTGAACTGACTATGAGTAACTATCTCCTTTGTCCCTTTTCTTGTTGTTGCTATCGTTGTTATCGTTATTGTTATTGTTACCGGTAACTTGTTGATCCGTCCTTTTGTTTTTGTTTATCATTGCTGTTGCCCGCGCGGACATGCTGCTCGATTGGGATAGATACCCGGCCCAGGAGATTGGGATTGGGTACGGAAAGGGAGGGAGTGATCTGCACTATAGGGCCAGGGCCTTTTGGTGAAGTGAGGGTTCCTTTCCGTACGGCTGAAGATGATGAGGAGGTTTGCAGTAGAGACTGTAGGGATTAAACTGGATATTGTTGTAAAAAGAGGATGTTTTGCACGGTTTTGGGGGGTCATGAAGAATATGTCCTCATCCTATACTCTCATTGTTATCGATGAATAATTACTTCTTATGCTATGCTATGCTATGCTTCTCGTACTTCGAGCATGACTGATCAGCCCTAAGCGAGAAACCCTAAGACCAAGCTGAGCGTCTGAGCCGCTTTCCCCAAAGGGCAATAGTGGATGGCGGCTGGACAAATGGACCACGGCCAGCTGTCAACCACATAGTAGTAGTGTGTACCCGCTCGCCCCTCCTTCCGTTCCCCGTTCTAGTCCCTCCCTCTCCTTTCTTACTTGGATAATCCCCTCCCATGTATTGATCAACTCGACTTCGTCAGTCTAGTCGCCTTCGCGGCTTTTGTCGCGCGCATACCCCCGATCATCCCCGACAATTCTATTGTGCCTGGCTCGACTCCGATCCGCGGTCGAGTCGCCGGACAACTCAATTCACTGGTCCCTGCAGACCCCTTCGCGCGGGACATCGAGAATATCGACCTCACCCCGATTCGAGGTCGCCACCAATCGATGCAAGCAATCGGGGTCGAGTGGGTTCGGGGAAAGCCATGGCGGATGGCAATCCCACTTTGCGCCGCAACCCCCCTAACGGCCTGAGCGTTGAGACTTGAGGAGGATTTTCCGCCGCCTGACGGGGCGGGCTATTATTGGCACCACCTAGAATCGAGAACCTGCCACCCTGAACGATGTCCTCTTGATCCGAGAACTGCGAAACACACTCGATAGAGGTTCTATTGGCACAAGTTCACCGCACCCATCTTATCAGTCGGGCTACTTACGCCTACTAGAAAGGGACATGGAGGATGGATGAGGTCTGTTGTTGTTGTTGTTGTTGTTGTTTATTGCGGAGTTTTCTACCGCATGAAGCACCAGCCACCTCCTCTCCCAAACTAGAAAGGGAACGGATACGAATCATCAAACCCCGCCGCCAACCAAATCAAGAACCAACAGTTGTCCACCTGATGACGGACATTTGGCCCAGTTGATAGATCAGTATCAACTTTCCCTCCTTTCCCCCTCCGGCCAGTCCCCACGATGGACCCAATCCAACCCATGCACGGCGCTTGAAACGGTCATCCAAGTGGATCAAACCGTGAGGAATCCGGGCCTTAGGGGCCAAACCAAGGACCCGATTACCGGGACAAGCCAGCTTGTCCCTGCACAGCATCTCAGATCTGTCTCGTTGATTCCTTCTATCTGACTTTTCGAATCTGGCTTCGCTCGCGTAGGAG